CCAAATGCGAGCTGTTTCCTCCTATTCGTTATGTTTTGTTTGGAGGAGAGATGGGATCCCGAGCCTCAGAGACGGCAGAGGAGAGGAATCGGCCGCACCGGAGCAGGCCAGCCGTTAGACCAGAATGTGTAGAGGAATCGCTAGGCCCTGGGATAGAGTAACAATGTTTCGGGGGGGTTTAATATCATTTTGTATAGATACAAAAAGTTACAAAAATTTTCAACATTCAGCAACATCGTTCTATATGTACTAAGAGCACCAAAACGTGTTCTGGATAAAGCCAAGATGTGATCAGAGTCTTCCAACAGCAAAGAATATTTCAGAGAGGAGAGGTATAGAGTCCTCCAGCAGAGTCTTCCAGCAGCAAAGAATATTTCAGGAGAGGAGAGTTATAGAGGAAGGAGCAGAGTCCTCCAGCAGTCAATGCAAGAATAAAGTTGCTCCAATTTCTCAGGCCCAATATTCCATGGGAGCTGAGGTGCTCGGCGCAAGTCTCTTCTGGACCCAGTCAGCAAAATGAAGTAGAATAGAGCTGGCACTTGTAGGAATCCTCTTGATGGTGTATCTTTATTGAAAAGGGCATAAAAGCAACTACAAAGATTGGAGTCCTCCAGCACAGCAGAGTATTTCAGGAGGGGAGAGTTAGAGGACGGAGCAGAGTCTTCCAGCAGAGCAGAGTATTTCAGGAGAGGAGAGTTATAGAGGAAGGAGCAGAGTCCTGCGGCAGAGCAGAGTATATCAGGAGAGGAGAGTTAGAGGAAGGAACAGAGTCTTCCAGCAGAGCAGAGTATTTCAGAAAGAAAAAACAGAGTCTGACGGGTTGAATTTAATTTGTAACACTGAGCGGTTTCTACATTTGGTTCGGTCAGCTCTTCAACACTGTGATCTTGCTTCATATGTGACAGGGCCCCTCTTATTTCCAGTCCCAGACTGCACAGTTCAGTCCCATTCCCCGTAGGTCATCTCTGACTCTCCCATGTACTATAGGCCTCTGACCCTGGTCTGGAGAGTGACGCGCTCTCTTTCGCGGCGCTCTGCGGCACAGATGGCTGGCTCTATACAAGGCACTTGGCGTTATTGCGGAGACGTTCAGAGTACTTAGCTCCCTCCTGCCGCACTTCACGCTGCAGATAAATTCACCTGCCTGAATTATTTATCAGCCGAGAATCATCTCCCCCGGGGACAGGAGAGAATGGCGACACCGCGGGGGGACAACCTGAGGATGACACAAGCGTGTTAAGAGCGCTCCCCTATAGAGAGTGTTCTGCTATCTAAACACATCACCGCGATACAGACAAATCACCGGCGCATGGATCAGCACACACAACACCTGCTACAATAATACATCTACTACACAACACCTGCTACAATAATACATCTACTACACAACACAAAGCAACACCTGCTACAATAATACGTATACTACAAAGCAACACAACACCTGCTACAATAATACATTTACTACAAAGCAACACAACACCTGCTACAATAATACATCTATTACAAAGCAACACAACACCTGCTATAATAATACATCTATTACAAAGCAACACAACACCTGCTACAATAATACATCTATTACAAAGCAACAAAACACCTGCTACAATATTACGTCTACAACAACACAAAGCAACACCTGCTACAATAATACGCCTGCAACAAAACAACACAACACCTGCTACAATAATACATCTGCAACAAAACAACACAAACCCTGCTACAATAATACATCTGCAACAAAACAACACAAAACCTGCTACAATAATACATCTACTACAACACAAAGCAACACCTGCTACAATAATACATCTATTACAAAGCAACACAACACCTGCTACAGCAAACATCTACAACAAAACAACACAACACTTACAAAAACATTGCATCTTATACAGACATCACGAAACATGGTAAAACAATACATCTGCCACCCTGCAGCAGAGAAGTACCATTTGCTACCTGTGTGGAAGCAGTGGTCTCTCTGCAGAGGTCCACCATTCTCTCAATTAGTTAGAGCTAGATCTCCTAAATCAGAAGGAAACATGAGCTTCACTGGTTGCTGAGTTATAGGTCTGACTCATCATTGTGTGAGACCTCTGCAGAGAGACCACTGCTTCCACAAAGAGAGCAAGGGTCCTTCTCTGCAGCATGCTGGCAGGGCTCAGACCTTTCAACGCTACGCTTACGCTGTGGCTGCTTTTTCAAGAAAACAAACTGTAAGACTTTCGGCACCTTTATATTTTGAAGGACTTGGAACTGATTTCATTTAAAGCTTGATTTGGGTTTTAATTTTCCCCCGTTATTCAGCCATCACTGATGCTTCTACGGAAGAGATTGTTCCTATTCAGAATTCAATTTCAATAGCCAGCTACCAAAATATTGGATCATATTGGATAACGTTGTCTCTTTAAAACAATATCTCCTTATCGTTTCCTCTCCCATAATGCACTGCTGGCAGGAGCTGGTATTGCAGAACGCCGTCTATAGCCAGCGGAGAATCATGGGAGACGTAGTTCCAGGGAAGCTCGCCGTGTCACGCACCAGCCGTAACCGATCGATAGGTTAATTAGAAAGCCTCTGTGATTTATTCCAGAAGAGATTCGTTCTGAAATAGTCATTGTGATATCATCGACAAACAAAGCAGCATGTAAATTATTTAAATCGCAACTGTAAAGGGGCCTAATTAATACTGACTGACATCTGTTAACGAGCTACTCACGCAATTGGAAATTCAGATGATAAAAGAAAAGGTTGGAAGTGACATTGCTTGTAGTGTCCAAATTATTATGACCCCCCCATCAGTACTTCGTTGGGCCGCCTCGTGACTCCACGAGATGGTGAAAGGTGATGCGAGGAATCTGACACGGCACTGTCGCCCTTCTGTTGTCTTGTACCAGTCTTGTCCCTCCCCCGTTCTGCCCTAACATTGACTGGTCGCTGACGGCCACAATTCGCACGTTCAGACCCAGATTTTCGGCTGACAGTCCAATCTTTAAACACTTTAACAACAGCTGCTCTTGAACATGTAACGAATTCTGCTGTTTTGCTGATACTCGCTCCATGGCTCCGAGCGCCAACAATCATCCCGCGTTCCAAGGCTGTTACATCGCGTTGTTTCCCCGTATCTTCAGAAACAAATCACTTCTACTGTCGTGGTAACCAACCTGCTTCCCTATTTATAATGGTCTGGCCCTCTAGCAACTTCAGCGCCAAATTATAGCTAATTTGCCTACAAATGTCAGGTGGTCATAATAATCCGGCCACTCAGTGTATTTGCACCATGGATTTTTACAAGCGGCCACGAGCGTTCTGTAATAAACTGCTTATAGCACACGGCTTATAATATTCCAGTGAATGCGTTCTGATACATTGTATAAGAATGTCTGATTGGATGGTTACTTTTCTTTCATGGCTGAGAAATGTAACTGTGTCAACGAGTCCTTAAAGTTTATGTAGCGCCAAGAACGTTTTTCTAGTTTTGTATAAATTGGGGAAGGATAGGGACTCCCGTTGTCATTTCCTGCAATCTGGCACTCCATTAGACAGTTTTAGGGCTCAATATAAAGTCCATATACCTTGTTGCACTCCGTAGCGGATGTCCCAATGATAACGGGTGCTTGCAATGACTGCGGAGACAGTAACAAGAGCAAAATGTCGGCAGCACTCCAGAACAGAGATTCGCGTTAGTGCAAACAGGGCCGGATTTCCCACAAGGCCAACCGAGGCCTGGCCTTGGGGCAGCAAGGAGTAGAGGGGCAGCAGGGGTGTGGAATTTCTAACTCCCGACGCCCAGGACATGCAGTTCCGGGCTCAGGGTGGGTAGTTGTTTTCTAGATTTAGCCTGCTTTGGGCAAGCAGAGCTAAATGTACAGCGGGGAAGCCGCCGCTTGTTTTCTTACGGGGCCACACAGGGTCCCCTTCATCAGTATTAATAATAATACCGGTAATAATAATAATAATAATTAATTATTGAGCCTGATGAAGGGTAGCCTGTGTGGCCCCAAAAGTGCTTGTCTTTGTGACATGTGTCAATAAAATGCATTTGCACTAACGCAAATCTCTGTGCTGGAGTGCTGGTGACATTTTGCTATTGTTACAGTTTTAGGGCTCATTCACACAAGCTTGGATGTCAGTACGGTGAGCATACCCATGCAGAGACCCAATCCTCGGAGGGACAGGTGCTGGGTGTAATTGCACACAGCAGCCTGTACCTCTCTATGGGAGGACATGGCTGCATGCAATTACACACAGTTACTTGCACACCCAAACCTGCGCATCCCGGTGCCTGGACGCAGACAGTGTGCGTCCAAGTGCGGGCACCCAGTCCCGCATAATTGTGTAGGTTCGGGTGTGCGTGTAATTGCAGGGAGGTACAAGCTGCTGTGCGTAATTTCACATAGACACTCCCAGTGTCAAGTCTTTGCTCAGGCATCCACACCACAAGGACGTGCACGCTTGTGTGAATGAGCCCTTACTTCCTGTCCAACTCTTCACATATTCACCAGACGGGAAGTAAGGATACAGGCAGAAATCAAAATCTGATATGGGGTTCTAACTTTTTCCTACTGTACTAAGCAAAAGCATTTTTATTTCTGTCTTTGTTGCTAATGGAGAGTTCCCCTCATTTCCTGTCTGGTAAAATGTTGTCAGCAAGACAGGAAGTGAGGAGAAATCCCTCTAAAGCTCTCCACACATGTTACAATCCTCCTTTAGATCTACCAACAACTATGTAATGCAAGGGCCTGCCTGATTGGATACAAATGTATTGGAATGTTCAGGTAGGTCCTCATATCACAAAGTTTTGGTAGATCTAATGTTGCTTGTACATAGATGGTACGGCCAGATTGTGACGTGCATGGTGAGCCTAATGGGGCTTCAGATAGAAGTTAAATCCTCATATGGGGTTTTAATCTTTCCGCACTCCCTCCAAAACTAAGACAAAAAATTTTCTTCTTAACACCGCGTATCGATGTGTCACACATTTTCCGCTCTCTCCTCAGGCTTTGATGCGTATTTCACATCGCGGACCCTGGAGAATAACCGCAGGAATGTGTGGTTCGCTGAGTATTGGGAAGAGAACTTTAACTGCAAGCTAACCATTACCGGCTCAAAGAAAGAGGACACCGACCGCAAGTGTACAGGTAACACATATCCACCATTGATCAATGCTGCCAGAGGTATTCAAGGAAATACAGATCAATAGCCGAAGTAAACATCCCAGAGGGTGAGGAGGTGGTTACGTATCTATGTCAGAGTTTTGCTGTTGGCTACTCGTTAATAAACAGCATTTAATCATATGTAACCACAGCAATTAAGGGCCGGCAAACACCGAGGCGGAACCTCTATGCGCGGGAATTGTGCACGATTCTGCACGGATTGCCGCGCGGTCAGGAGTCGCCAAGGTGTGAACCCATCTCGCTGTGGGTGTCATTATTTTCTAATGGCACCCCCAGTCGCGCCGAGCGGATCGCGCGGTTTCCTGCCGCGATTCCACCCGCGCTTCTGAACGCGGCTAAAGTAGCCACGCGTCGTGTATCGCAAAATAAGGTACATGCCTCGCTGATGTCACCCCATTAAAAACAATGGGGCCGTGCGGCAAACGCTGCCTGCATTGTGCAGGACCGCGCGATCCCGGGACACACGATCCTGGATCGCGGAGGTCTGCGCCGAGCCTTAAAGGAACGTTCAAAGAGTAAAGGCAATGACGGTTGTATACTTTTTGTGCCTCATCAACCTCCAATATATTATCACACGGGTGTCAGTATTTGCTTAAGGAACCTTTTGGGGGAAAAGACGTACAGGAGGTGGTAGTGGAATGTTGGTCCTGGCATCTTTTGTGGAAGACACAGGGTTATTCACTAAAGGGTGAAGGGTTTGGAGAAGGAAGGAGAAGTGACTAATCTAGGACAACATGGCTGAATGGGAAAGTGAGCTGAATTTACCAAATCAAGATTGCTGTATAGTATGTCCCACCATAGTATGACCACGTGTCCCACATGACCACGTGTCCCACATGACCACGTGTCCCACATGACCATGTGTCCCACATGACCATGTGTCCCACTCTAGTATGACCACGTGTCCCACATGACCACGTGTTAGTAGCATTAATTTGTAACTGTCCTGATCCTGTTATTTACGATGATCCAATCTGTGATTCTCACATTTTTGAATCACCTTAAAGGGTCAGTCAACTAAAAAGTAATGTTATTGATAGATGGTCTCTGGTAGGCTAGGTCAACCACTGGCTTATTTTATGTCATAAGATACCATACTGCCCCTCTTCCTGTGTCATATTTTATTTGTGCACATGAGGTATTGACACCGTTGGTGTTGTGAACACCACAAGCCTAAACTAAAAGCCTAAAAGACACCCCCTTTCTTACAACACAAGTCATTTATGGATTTGTCCTTCACTGTAAAGGGAGCATGTATCTAACTTGAGTCTTTGGTGGCTGGGCAGGACAGGAGGTTGTGGTGGAATGGGTTCTACCAGCATTAGGCGTGACTTGGCATGTGTACAGGGCACAAAACTAGTCGTGGAAAATTGTATCCAATTGAGATTTCTCATCTGACACAGTGATGTTTAACTTTGGAAACTTCAAGGCTTTTTAAAAAGTTTTTTCAAGACCTTAAAAAAAATGTCATACAATACGTCAAGTCTCATGCCAACTGAGAAACTGATATTACTGCTCTGCATATGAACCGAGAATTACTAGATACATATTCATCATTGCCATGTGGGATTTTTAGATGATAGCTATGGATACAGTAACATGTGATATACTGCATATGTCATGGATCAATACAAAAACTGTAATTTTACGTAGAGTTGTTCAAACTGGGTTTCTGCGAACTCAAATTAACTCACAAATCACTAGACAGGTAAGTTTCGTTTAGTTCCGAATTTAAATTCAGACAGATTCCTTTAAATCCAAACATTCAGATGCATCCGAATTTCATTCATTTCATTCAATTTCACTCAAAAGCATTCAAATTCCAAAAAAATCTGATTTTTTTTCCCCCATGTTTTTCGTCCGAGTTTCCACATTTCCAATTCTAATGACCAGTATGGACGGAAATGACCAGCACGGTCTAAGAAAACCAGTATGGAGCAAAACGACCAGTAGACACTAAAATGACCAGTACAGAACTGAAATGCAGCCCCCCCCAACAAAATAAATAAATATATATATATATATGTCTATTAATTTGTTAATTCGGTAAATTTTTAATAAAATAACCCCATCCAAATGAATCCAAACAAAAAACAAACAAAAATTGGATGAATCCAACCCACCCCCCAAAAAAATAAATTGAATGAATGAATGAAAAATTTGATCAATCTGAATTGTGAATAACAAATCAAAACCAATTTTGGATCCAGAGTCAGATCAAAAAAATTGAATCCATCCAAAACTAAACAAACTTTTTGAGCCTTTACATGTCTACAGATAACCTTCAGTTTGGACTGATAAGTTTACCTGATCCTGTTTGTTCTCCTATTTAGCTTATCCAGATGCCCACTTATGTCCACGCAGTATGCCTGTTGCACTGTTGAATGCTGCAATTTTTTGTATTAAGGCTTGGGAGTTTCCCAACCTATCATTTGTCAGAAGTGTAACAAGTGTGACATTGAAAAAGAAAAGAAAGCTTTGGTTTTTTTGGAAAGCATTAGTGGAGAATCTAGTACAGTGGTACCTCAGTTCACGAACCTAATTCATTCCACGATTCTGGTCGCGAACCGATCTGGTTGTGTACCGAATCAAACTGTGATCAGACCGTGATCTCGACTAGGGAAAGCCATGATCACGTGTTAGAGCGGGGAAGATGGCTGCGGTTGCGTTCGCAGGGCAGCCATCAGGGGGGAACGGCCGATACTCATTTAAGGGGCCCGGGCAGCCTGGGGGGCCCGCCCGGGTCCCTTACATGACTATCAGCCGACGGTGAAGGGTGAGGAGGCGGGGGCCTGGCCCTAGCAGCGCAGGGCCCCAGAATTGCCGCTCCAGCGGCTTTTTAGACAAGCTAGGGCCCCATCAGCTAAGCTGCTCGTCTGATGTCGGACTGGCCGGAAGTGACGAGGCCATGTTTGCAAGTAAGAGGAGCTAGGAAGGAAGGAAGGAAGGAAGGAAGGAAGGAAGGAAGGAAGGAAGGAAAGGAGGGAGGGGAGGGATGCAGCCCTGACCAGCCCACCTGAGACCCCTTCAGAGCCCACAATAGACAGTCTCAGATGGGCTGGGCAGCATCTATGGTGGGCTTTGCAGGGCCACTCTCAGGTGGGTCCTGTGTCCAGCGCGTCACTAAGCCCTGCGTCCAGCG